GTCATCTGCATAATGCAGATTATTGATGAGTCTACCTCCAATCCTGATGCCACACTTCTCCTCATAGAGCCCAGCCTCCCAGATATACTGTTTCACAAATAGATTGAAAAGATATGGAGATAGGACAGATCCTTGATGCACACCCTTCCCAATTTTTAACCATGCAGTGTTTCCTAGCTTTGTTCTGTTGACTGCCTCCTGGTCCAAGTATAGGTTTTGCATTAGCACAATCAAGTGTTCTGGGATTCCTATTCTTCTCAGAGTCAGGCAGAGTTTGTTGTGATTCACACAGTTAATTGCCTTTGCACAGACAGTGAAAGAGAGATGGCCATTCCTCTGGTACTCTCTGCTTTCAGCCAAGATCCATCTGACATTAGCTATAATATCCCTCGAGCCACAGCCTCTCCTAAATCCAGTCTGCACTTCAGGCAGTTCTCTGTTGATGTGCAGTTGTTTGGGGTTTTTTGTGGTGTTTTTTTTTTTTTATAATTTTGCAGAATCTTGCTTGTGTGTGATATCAATGATACAGTTCGATAATTTCCACACTCTGTTGGATCACCTTTCTTTGGAATGGGAACAAACATAGATATCTTCCAGTCAGTAGGCCAGGTGGTTGTCCTCCGGCTTTCTTGGCACAACTTGGTGAGTACATCCAGGGCAGCATTTGTTTGTTGAAATATGTCAATCGGTATGCCATCAATTCCCGGGGCCTTGTTTTTTGTCAATTCTTTCAGAGTAGCTTGAACTTCCTCCTTCATCACCACAGGTTCTTTCTCATATGTTGTTTCCTGAAAATCTTCTGTGTCCTCCAATTCCTTTTGTACAATGACTCTGTATACTCTTTCCATCTTCTTTTAATGTTTCCTGGATAATGTAGTATTCTACCCAAAACATTGTTAATTATTGCACGTGAGGTTTGAATTTGTTCTTCAGTTCCTTCAGCTTAAGAAATGCTGAGTTCTTGCACCTTTCATTGTAATACTTTACTTTGTCTTCCTGCGCTGCCCTTTGGAATCTTCTGTTCAACTCCTTAATATCTTGATTTCTTCCTTTGCTTTGGCTTCTCAGTGCTTCAGTGCAATATTTAGAGTTTCTTCTGACATCCATCTTGGTCTTTTCTACCTCCTTTGTCTTTGTAATGAGTTTTTGCATTCTTCCTGGATGATATCCCTGATATTTTCCCACAGCTCATCTGGTCTTGATTCATTAATGTCCAAAGCCTCAAATCTGTTTCTGAGATGGTTTTGAAATTGAGAGATAGACTCAAGGTCAAATTATGGTTCCTGTGTACTTGATTTTTAATACTAGGGAGTTGGTACTCTAGCTCAAAGCCCCAGCCTCTTGGTGATTTGAATCCACAGAAGACTGCAAGGAAGAAAGATTGGTAATTTCCTCCCATGTGAATTAGTGCCTTAGAAGTCCAATGGAGAGCTAGCTATTATTTAGTTCTAACCCAATAACAATGAGTTGAATTAAGAATAGAAACACTGTTGATTTTAAAATTTTAATCTCATTTTTAGAACATTTTCTAATTGCTCTATCAATTCTACTTTTACGTACATACTACTAGATTTAATGCTGTATTGTTGTTAGGTGCCTTAGAGTTGAGAATGACTCACAGTGATCCTATGAACAACAAATCTGAACACTGTCCTATTCTGTGCTATCCTTACACATCCTGACAAATTAGAGCTTATTGTGCCACTCACGATGTCAATCCACCTGGTTCAGGATCTTCCTCGCCTTCACTGATGCTCTACCTTCCAGAGCATGATGTCACTCTCCAGGAAATAGACCCTCTAGCAAAATGCCCAAAGTATGTGAGGCAAAGCCTCATCACCTATGCCTCTAAAGAGCACGCTTGCTACAGTGCTCTTCTACAACACCACAGCTCAAAGGCATCCATTCTTTACAATTATTTTATACATATACATATTTATTGTTCTGGTTGGTATACCAAGGACAATGATAAAAAAAGCTAATAGTGGGTATGATTGTGTTTTTCTTGGTCTTAGGAGGAAAGCTTTTGTTATTTAAATTTCGTGTAAGATATTTGCACAATATTATTGAACAATATAACTGATATAACATGCAAGCAAGAATCTGCGGAAAATTATCCAAAAATGTTTGGAACAATATGTTAACAGAGAGTTGCCAGATGTGCAGGCTGGATTTAGAAGAGGTCACAGTACTAGGGATATTATAGCTAATGTAAGGTGGATCTTGGCAGAAAGCAGAGACTACCAGAAGAATGTCTATATGTGCCTCATTGACTATGCAAAGGTTTTTGACTGTGTGGATCACAACAAGCTATGGCTGACTCTGAGAAGAATGGGAATCCCAGCACATTTGATTGTGCTAATGCAAAACCTATACTTGGACCAAGCGGCAGTCGTCAGAACAGTGCAGGGAGACACTGGATGGTTCAAAATCAAGAAAGGGGTCCGTCAGGGATGTATTTTGTCTCCATACCTTTTCAATCTGTAGGCAGAAGAGATCATCCGAGACACTGGGATGTAGGAGAAGGAATGCAGCATCAGGATTGGTGGAAGAATCTTCAACAACCTGCATTATGAAGATGACACAACCCTGCTTGCTAAAACTGAGGAAGACCTGAAGCGCTTGCTGCAGAAGGTCAAGGACTGCAGTCTTCAATATAGACTGAAGCTCAATATCAAGAAAACAAAGATTCTCACCACTGAGCCAATTGGCAGCATCAGTATGGATGGTGAAGAGATTGAGATAGTTAACAGTTTTTGTTTACTTGGTTCCACAGTCAACACTTGGAAATCAGGAGACGAATTGCATTGGGAAAGTCAGCTGTGAGGGACCTCTCAAGAATACTGAAGTGCAATGACGTCAGGCTGGAAACTAAGGTGCGCATGATCCAGGCTATAGTCTTTGCAATTACGTGCTATGCATCGGAGAGTTGGACAGTGAATAGGGATGATAGAAAGAGAATTGATTCCTTTGAGTTGTGGAGCTGGAGAAGAGTGTTGAATATACCATGGACTGCTAGGAGAACAAACAGGTTTGCCCTGGAGAGGGTGAAGGCAGAATGTTCCCTGGAGTCAAGGATTCTCAAGTTTTGTCTGACATATTTTGGGCATGTTGCAAGGAGGGATTGGTTCTTGGAGAGGGACGTCAGGTTTGGGAGAGTGGAGGAACCACGCAGGAGAGGAAGACCGTAGATGAGATGGATCAATTCTGTGAGTGGAGCGGTGGGAATGAGTGTGTTTGAGACAGCGAGGTTGGCACAGGATAGAACGGCATTTAAGGCTCTTGTACATAGGGTCGCTATGAGTCACAAACGACTCGATGGCACATAACAACAACAATTAGCACTTCATTCTGAAGTGTTTCATCAAGCACATAAAATATTCTAAATTGTTGCAAATAATTTCAAACCTACCTTTCTCAGAGTAATATTAATTCCCTTTCTTTTATTTTGGCTAACCACTACCCTGAATTTCATGCTTGTTATAAATGTCTTTAATATTTATAGTTATTAATAATGGTAATTATAAGTGAAAATATTAAATGACTCAGCTAACTGAAAGATCAGTAATTATATGCCTCTAGCCACGCTTATGGAGAAAAATTCAGCAGTCCATTTTCCGTATTTACTTCCTTGGAACAGTATGGAGAAGTTTTCCTCTGTCTTATAAGGTTAGTGTGAGTCTCGGATGGAATAAAAGGCATTGGGTTTGTTTGAGTTTTTTAAAATCTTTGTATTTTGAAACAAGGGGATCATTTCTAAAAATATATTATTCAAAATTCCATATCACTACAAGTCCATCAAAATAGTAAATTGGGATATTTCAAGTAACATAGTTTTGAATGTTTAGGAATGATTTCATAATTCAGTAAAAGAGACATCAAGCTTTCTAAATAAGAACTTGTTGTTCGTTTTGTGCCATCGAGTCACTTGCAACTCATAGTGACCCTTTGTACAACAGCCCTAAACTCTGTTCTGTCCTGTGCCAATCTCATTGTCTCAGATACACTCATCCCCATTACCCCAGTCACTGAATCAATCCACCTCCTACAGAGCCTTCCCCTCCTGCGCCTGCCCTCCACCCTCCCAAGCATGATGTCCTTCTCCAAAAAATAAGAACTTAGGACCTTGTTATAAATATAAACAAAGATGTCATGGAAAGCCGTTTTAAGTATTAATGCATTTATAGTAAAGATGCCAAAAACAGTATAACATATCTTTAAATTAAATGCCCATAGAGGATTTGCCAGAGATTGTTGAAGGATGCCCAAAATAGAAGCAAATTTGAGGAGATCGAAGCTGGGGCTTTGATATCTCACATCATTGTTCTCTAGTTCTATAAAATTCTGTAAATCTTGATTATTCTCAAAAGAGCTTTTTCATCTTGCTATAAAATTTAGTAACTGTGCATGGATAAAATGTGCCAGGTTAACTTCTTAAAAAATAACTTATTGCAAATATAATAAATAAGAAAAAAATATTAATGCTTAATTACATGTGTTTCAACTTCTTCATTCATTTTTGACCATATTTTCTCTGGAACTGTAACTTGTACAGGTTGTTTTTCTTCATCTGCAAGGTGTAAATGAAATATTAGCAAAACAGCCATCATCTCATAGTTTTCTTTTCATTTTCCCATCCAAAATCAGTAGTTTATATGCCATTTCATATTTTTAATATTTTTCATTCTTTCAATTCCTCATTTCTTTTTGACATAACAAGTACTAGTCAAAAGAAACAGGAAGAGTGCATGCAGATTCTAATAACCTTGGGGCAATAGGACCCAGATGCTTCATTAAACTTAGACCTTTTTTATGCTCCAATTACAAGAGGTTGAACCTTTAACATTTTTAGAAACGCAAAGCAAAGCATTATCTGAAACTTCAATCTGGAGGCTATTTCTCTTGAGCCAAAGTAAAACCCATCTAGGCTCTAGGGGGACCACTTTCAATTCCCATTTAAATTTTGGTCGTGCTAGTCGATAATTAGTGGGCTCAGCCTCGCAAATGACAACTAACATTTCCCCAGAAAACAAGAAAGGGTTTTTCTACTTACTTTGGTCTGTCTGGAGCCCAGTGAGGCCAAAGAGCAATAGGAGGTTCAACATGGTTAGATCTCCCGGATTCCCGCCCTAGTGATGGCAGTTAGCTTACTTAGTAGGAAGCAGTTGGTCTCGCGAGAATCAGGTTTGGTCACGCACTCTGCAGACACCAGCAACTGCGAGCAGAGGTCGCAGGACAGGTGGGTGGGTGGGTGGTGTACCCTGCTGTCAGTGGTGGGTTATCTTGACAGCTAATTCCTTTCCTGGAGAATGCCTCTGCTTGATGTGATGATGCCACTTTGGACCTAAAGAGGGAGGGGGAAAAAGAAACCAAAACTCCGAAAACAAACTCCAAAACAGAATGACCTCCTTTCAAAAGGCATTGTCAAAGAAATAGCTAATGAAAGCAATATTCACTTCCTAACTTTAAGATTATTTTTAACTTAGTTATATATTCAAATATAAAATAGAAATTATAAATGTGGAGCTCGTTTAATATTGAAGAGAACAGACCAATGGAATCAAGCACTCACATGAAATATACTCAAGATATATACTCTGCAACACCGAAAGCATCTAGCTGCCCCTTTATGACCCTTGCTTCTATGCCATAGATTAGTTTTGTGATATAAATTGAAGTGATTCTTTGTAGTCGTGTGTGTGTGTGTGTGTGTGTGTGTGTGTGTGTGTGTGTGTGTACCATCAAATCGGATTTGACTGGTACAGGAGGAGGTTGTCCCTCGTTCTCCAGCAGAGCATCAGGTGGATTTGAACCGCTCACCTCTGGGATTGCAGTCCAGATTCTTGCCACTAGGCCACCAGAGCTCGCCCATAAGTCTTTTTTTATGTCGATTGTTTTTTCAGTGCAACCACATAGTAGGTAACAAAAGTTCCTTTTTTCATCTTTTTCTCTTCCTGTTGTGTATTCTGGGAGCACTGGTGGCACACAGTAAGGATCTCTGCTGCTAACCCTTGGGCCACGCCCCATTGGCAGTTCTAATCCACCAGCAGTTTTCCAGAAGAAAGATGGACAATATCCTCTTATGCAATTTACATACAGCCTTAGCAATCCAACGGAGGATCTATTATGAGTCTATTCTGATTCCATGGCAAGAAACGAGAGAGAGGAGAGGGGAGGAAGGAGGGAGATGAGGAGGATAAAAAGGTAGGAGAGAGAGACTGTTTTTATGTTAAATAAACAAACCACCATCAATTTTTGCCATTTTACTGTTGAAGAATTTTGGCTATTAATAATTGGGGTTATTTTGGCTATAACTATTCCTGTGTGATTTGTGAACACTAATTGTATTTATATTAGTTCCCTATACTGAATTTATTGTATAGTGGTGCTGT